CTGCTTTTAAAAAAGTGTTTTTTTTAATGAAATTGAGAGAAGTGATTAAATAAAAGTTGATAGTGTTTGAGAAAAAAGTGATTTTGAAAAATAAACGTGGGTAGTGTTTGGTAAAATAAGTGCTTTTTGTGTAATAGAAAAAGTAAAAGCACTTTTGACGCGGAAGCCGAAAAAAATAAAAGTTGTAGTGTTTGGGAAAATAGGTGCTTTTTTAAAGCCAAAAGCTGAGAAGTGCTTTTTTATAAGGAGTTGCAAACCAACCCTTAGAGAATACCTCATCTATTTATTAGAAAAAAAATAACGGTACATGAGTAGGACCAAAGTCTATTAAGAGAAAATGAGTTAAATGGAGTAAAATATAGGGAAATTAACCTCATCAAATTTAAGGATACCAAAAAATTGATTAAAACCGTGAGTATTGGTTTTGATTGACACGCAGCCATAGGCAAGGAACTCTATAGACTATAGGTCTATTGTCTTTAGGATTCGTGTGGTTGATGACCAACCTTTCGTACATATAAGGATAATGTCAAGTGTGGACCGGGGATATGTGTGATCCTTCCAAGCTTTGGCAATGATATCAACTATCATTGCCTAAGATCATTTGGAGTGGTGTAAGAGTCAAAATGTCAAAAATGGACTCCGTCCATATGAAAACAGTGTTTTGATTCCTATTTCTCTGTATTCCAGCACCGTCAATAAAATTCACTCTGCACATTTTTTTACATATCAATTTAGTAAAACATTATTTAAATTATTATAAGTAATATTTTTCTTTTTAATTTAATCCCTGAATAATTTTGAAGTAAAAATACACATTTCGATGTAAAAATAATAAGTTTCATTAATTTTTTTTTTAACATTTTTCGGTTAACAAAAAATGAACTTAGTTCAAGTAAAGTTCGATTACGGAATATTAAGTTATTTGTGAAGGCTACATGAATTAAAAAATTGTGTTTTGTATTTTTTTTTTTGGGCTCATGAAAATTTCAACAGTTAAAATTTCAGATTTTTTTTCATTTTTTGTATTACATATTGGTGTCATATGAAAGAGTATAAAAAATTATGAATTTTGATATATTTTTTAAGAAAAAACAAATTTACATATTTGTGAAAAAACAAATTATAACCATTTTAAGAAAGATGGAGTTTTATTTTATGGAACCCACTAACTACCCACCACTCATGATTCTTTTCTTTTTGGCAAAGTAGCACTTTCACCAAAGTCAATCGGCCGGCTAAAATTGGACTCCTCCCTCCCATGCCATCTCCATTTTTAGCCTCCTATAATGTTCTCCAATGTAATAAATTAGGAGTCTAAAATCTCCACTTTTAGCATTTTAGACTCCTAATACCTTACCACTACAAATGGTCTAACAGAGCTATTCTCATTCATCCAAAAAAAATTGAGCTATTCTCATACTACGTAAGTGAAACAAGAAGTACTCCGTATTCATTTTAGGCTAAATGATCAAATAAGTTCATATACTCCCTTCCTCAATTACAAAAATTACCAATAATTTTTTTTTTTTTTGAACAAAATATAATGCGAGTAGCCTGTTTTGGAGGTTTTAATAATTGTTGCCTTAGCTTTTCAACAGACATATATGGCCCCTTTCTTCGTTCGAATCCCTCAACTCACCCATCATCAACAACAAATGTTAACATTGTTGTAAAGTCCAGAAATAAAATGATTACAATCTACGTGCCTTGACGTTTTTGACTTTTTTCTTATTTAAGATTTCTATTTTCTACTTTGTTATTGCCTTATTGGTATAGTTGAACTGTCCACGTGAATTATAATTCAAAGGTGAGGTGACTGGATGATAAAGCCAATATTTTTATAATGAGATTATTGATGATTATTACACCTTAAAAGCGGCTATTCGAACGATAAATGTAGGTTTATATTGTAGTGAGGAAGATGCTGCCAATCAATAGGTAGCTTGGAGGGAAAAAATGGGACAGGCCGAGAAAAATACATTCATAAGTTTTTTTTCTTGTTTTCTTTTAAATTCATTCATAAGTTTTATAACTCTTCACATAAACAAGTACGTGTACACTAAAAACCAATTTTTTATACCGAAATTAGGGTTGGCCTAGGCTATATAGGCGATAATACAAAGTTGCAAACAATTTAGACCGAAGGTAATAATGTGAACTGAATTGAGTAATTTAGACCGAATTATCAATGGAGTGAAGTGAACAATTTATATCGATACAAGGATCAAAGAAACACATTGTTGATGTTTTGTACTTTTTCTATTGATGATTTTAATGGAGTTTTTTATTTGGTGATGGAGTGAATTGAACAAATCAATTAAAACACGTTGAATTGACCAAATTGCTAATCAAGACTAAATTGCTAATCAACTAAACTATAAAAAAAACTGAACAATTAATATCTAGAAAATTTCAATATATAAGAATATCTTCAATCATATCTTAAGCAACTCAATGAGTGAGATCATGGTGATAAATCAACAATTAAGATAGCGGGGATATTATCCTACACAAGAATACTACCACTTTAGGAAATTAATCATATCTTACACAAGAATACGACCACTTTAATTAATTTCCTAAATAAGGACAATTTATGTTTCGTCACATGTCATTCTTATTTGTAGTTCTACCATATCAGGTGTATAGCGGGGATATTATCCAAATTTTATTTATTTGTAACTAATGTGTGAAAAACTTTGTTTATTTATTTGTGATATTTGTACAACTCGGTCCAATTTATATGCCACAATGCCACATAATAACACTAATACGAGGGCGGAGTCAGGACACTAGGCCAGATCAGACCGGTACAAAGAATACTTTGAGAAAAATATTACACGGAATTTTTTACACAAAAAATACTGACATTTTTTAAATATTGATATAATATTCTTTGGAATTTTTGTGAAATATCCCATATTTATATTATCAATGTTATTACTTGATGAATTGTTTGTTGTTGTAAAGGTAACCATGAGTATTGAAGTATATTCATTATGATTTTGTTAAATTCTTGATATAAATCATGAGTAATATCTTTCTCTCATTTCCACCTAATTACAATCCTAATGACGGTGGTCAACCGGATCCAATAAAATAAGAATTATTGTCCTCAGAATTTTGTGATTAAGTGTTGAAGATTGAACTTTGAACACAAGAACACACTGTCTCATATATAAGGCCATACACATCTCTTTGATGATTTGCTAGCTGTGATCATTAGGACAGTATGTAAGCAATAGACTAAGAAACAAAAATTCAATTAACAAAAGTCTCACGGTCCCCTGCCCTCTTGCTTCTAAAGAAATTCAATTATGCTTTCACTTTACTTTATTGACATTTAATACTTCATTCTTTTGGAATGTGTTAGGTCTTGGATGTTGATATTTGTCTATTCCCATTTATATAAAAAGTGATGAAAAGGCATGGGTGTACCGTAAAATACTTGCATTCAAAGATGTATTGCAGTATTGGATTAAAGGGAATATATAACGATAATAATCATATAATTATGAGTAATGGCACTTTGACTACCCTATCATACACCTTAGAATTATTGTAATTCATATCATGTCAAAATAAATTAATTTTGGTCATTACATATGGTATTCAAGAAAAGTTACAATAGTAATTTGAAAGATGTATAGCCTGTTTGATAATACGCAAATCGATTACATTATTGGCTAATTCTGCTGAAATTTTTAAAGTTCTGACTGAAGTGGCTGGATTAACTGATTCTGTTGCTATATGAAAAAATTATATTTAAAATATATTTTATTAATAAAATAAAGAAAAATTATATGAAAAACAGTTAAAATGATCTTCAATAGTAATTTTAGCCAGTATAGCAAAAAAGTAACTTACAACCTTACTTTTTCTTATTATTACACATTTCAATGCAACAACACATAAGTTATGTATTTGGTGAGAAAATTGACTGATAAGTCTCATAACCCGAAAAAAGTCAGCAAACGGGCTCGTAGTAATACATAGAGCCCGTTTGGAGAACTCTGTTTTCGGCTTATCAGGCTTATCAGCCAGCTTTTTCACCAAACACGTAACTTTTACTTTCGCGCGCTGAATTGTGTAATAAGCCGAAAAAGTAAGGTTGGAGTTACTTTTCTGGCTGTATTGGCTGAAGTTACTGTAGAGGACCATTTTAGCTATTTTTACATATAATTTTTTCTTTAATTTATTAATAAAATATATTTTTAAAATATTTTTTTCTTAAATCAGCAGAATCAGCCAAAACAGCCACTCCAGCCAGAATATCATAAATTTCAGCAGAATCAGCCAAAACAGCCGATTTTGGTGCTACCAAACGGGCTCATAGTGTACTTTAATGTGGTCTAAATAATTGATTAAGACATGACTTTTATAGCAAAGTGACGGACGTTGTAGATAATTTCAGGCTTTGTTTTTGCTACCACTTAAGAAAAGTTATTTTGGCTTTTTTTTTAAGAAAAAGAGATTTATTTTATCAAACACCACCAACTTTTACTTTCTCGGCTTCTGTGTAGAATCTACTTTTAACTTTTTCTATTACACAAAAAACATTTATTTTACCAAACACTGCCAACTTTTACTACCAATCATTTTTTTTAATCAAAAAGTGCTTCTATTTAAGCACAAGTGGTTGCAAACAAAGCCTTAGGGTCTGTTTGCAACAGCTTCTGCTTTTAAAAAAGTGCTTTTTTTAATGAAATGGGGAGAAGTGATTAAATAAAAATTGATAGTGTTTGAGAAAAAAGTGATTTTGAAAAGTAAAAGTGGGTAGCGTTTGGTAAAATAAGTGCTTTTTGTGTAATAGAAAAAGTAAAAGCACTTTTGACACGGAAGTCGAGAAAAATAAAAGTTGTAGTGTTTGAGAAAATAAGTGCTTTTTTAAAGCCAAAAGCTGAGAAGTGTTTTTTTAAAAGTAGTTACAAACAAACCCTTAGTGATCTTGATGATATCTGTTTTTAATGGCATTTTTAGAGTATATGGATAGATTATGAAGACATATTTTGACTCATAAATGTTAATTTTATACTTCGTACATTACATCTCCCATGGGCCATTTCCCCCTCTCAACCACATCTCCACTACTGTCCTGTAAGTTCCAATGGTGATTCTTCTTCACCTTTTACTTCTCTCTGTATCTCTTTTCCTCTTCATCTTATCAAGGCCAGTTTCAGCCGTGGACCCCATTACAGAATCTCTTTTGAGCTTGAAATCCGAAGTGATTGATGATTCCAACGCTCTGGGTGACTGGGTTTTACCCACTGTAGAACCGAATTCTTCAACACAAATCCATGGATGTTTCTGGTCTGGTGTGAAATGCAATGAGAACTCAACAATGGTGGTTGGGTTAGACCTTTCTATGAAGAATCTCGGAGGGGTTTTATCAGGGAACCAATTTGGGGGTTTTCTTGACCTTCTTGATCTCAACCTCAGTAATAATTCCTTCTCAGGGAATCTCCCTCCCGGGATTTTCAATCTCATTCATCTCAGAACACTTGATATCAGCAGAAACAACTTTTCCGGCCAATTTCCGGCCGGAATCTCGAGTCTTGAGAACCTGGAGAATCTTGATGCCTTCAGTAACATCTTCTCAGGGAACTTACCTTCTGAGGTCTCAAAACTTAAATCATTGAAAATGTTAAATTTTGCAGGCAGTTATTTCAATGGATCAATCCCCTCAGAGTATGGCTTTTTGGGTAATCTGGAATTCATCCATTTAGCAGCGAATTCCCTGACTGGGAAACTCCCACCAGAATTAGGAAAGCTCAAAGCTTTAACTCACATGGAGATAGGCTACAATGCCTATGAAGGAAACATTCCGTGGCAATTTGGTAATTTGAGTGAACTTCAGTATCTTGACATTTCCGGCGCAAATCTCTCCGGCCAAATTCCGAAAGAGATTGGGAATCTCACCAAGCTGGAGTCACTTTTCATGTTCAGAAACTTTCTTGATGGAATCATCCCCCAGGAACTGGGAAGAATCAGTTCTCTCCAAAGCTTGGATCTTTCCGATAACATCCTCTCCGGGCCTATCCCGGAGACCTTTTCCGACCTCAAGAAACTCAAGCTTCTCAGTATTATGTACAATGAGATGACTGGGACTGTTCCCGAAGGCCTCGCGAAGCTTCCCGGACTCGAGCATCTTCACATTTGGAGCAATTTCTTCAACGGGTCACTTCCAGAAAGCTTGGGGAGACATTCGAAGATCAAAAGCTTAGATGTTTCGACAAACAGGTTTGTCGCCGGAATTCCACCGGGATTATGCTCCGGCGGGGCGCTACAGAGACTGATCATGTTTTCCAACAGGTTTTCAGGCCGGCTCGACCCGTCCATATCAAATTGCCCCTCTTTGATTCGGGTCCGCCTCGAAGATAATTTATTTTCAGGTGAAATCTCTCTGAATTTCAGCAAGCTTCCCGACATAGCATATTTAGACTTGTCGGGAAACAACTTTTTCGGTGGAATTCCCGCCGATCTCAACTCAGCTACAAAACTCGGATATTTTAATGTCTCTTATAATCCGGACCTTCGAGGGACAATTCCGGAAAAAATATGGACAATATTGTCCCTTCACAACTTTTCCGCTTCCAATTGTGGAATTTACGGAAATATCCCTCCTTTCAAAGAATGCAAGTCAGTATCTGTTATTGAATTGAGCTTCAATAACTTATCAGGGGTAATTCCGGAAAATTATAACTGTAAGGAATTAGTGAAGATGGATTTATCTTGGAATAAATTAACGGGTCAAATACCGGATCGGATATCGGCAACGTTAAAAATACTTAACGTGTCGTTTAATGATATCTCCGGGTCAATCCCGAAGCAGTTTTGGGCCATGGACAGCTCTTATTTCAGCGGAAATCCTAAACTCTGTGGACCGCCTTTACGGGCTTGCTCTAACGGGCTGGACTTAAGAAGTCGAAAGGCCCAGAGAGTTATTTGGGCTTTAATCACTTGCGGGGTGGTAGTCTTATCTATTATAGCCGGGGTATTCGTGGCTCTCTATTACTACCACAAGGCCAACTGGAAAACGGTGTCGTTTAACGAGCTTCACCAGTTCAAACTCAACGATATTTTGAGGAGCTTCGATTCGACCGACCCGGGTTCGGTTCGAAAGGCGGTTCTGCCCACGGGTATAACCGTTTCGGTAAAGCGGGTCAAGTGGGCCCCATCTAAGGCTACGTCGGAGTTTATCAAGCAATTGGGAAATGCGAGGCACAAGAACTTGACCAGATTGTTAGGGTTTTGTCACAACAAGGATTTGGCTTACCTCGTTTACGATTACTTGCCGAATGGGAATCTGGCGGAGATGGTCAACGGCGGGGAGAAGAGAGATTGGGGAACGAAGCTTAAAGTCGTGATTGGGATCGCTAGAGGACTTTGCTATCTTCACCATGATTGCAAGCCCGCGATTCCGCACGGGGATTTGAAGGGGAGTAATGTGGTGTTTGATGAGAATATGGAAGCTCATTTGGTTCATTTTGGGATTAGATCACTCACTCGATTACACAGATTTAGTTCATCATTGCCTTCAAGAGAAACAAAGGAAGCAGGTATATACATACATATATTTTAGCTCTTAAGACTTTGCATCTGAGTTGTTCGTAAAATCCAGCCTTTCCTGATTCTTTAATAGGATATTAATGCAAGTTTTTGCTTTGCAATTAAATTAGTATGAACCAGAACCAGTATTGGTCCAAGCAGGTTCCTGGGTTCTTCCAAAAGTGAGATATGTTTTTTTTTTTCGTTTTTTTAAAGTAACCAGAATCGACCCAGAATTAGAACCCAAACTAATTTACCCATGTGTACGGTTCCTTCCAATCCCCCATTGCTCTCAATCCAGTCATTCTAGAATTGAACCGGAAGTGGACTGAGTCCACCCTAGTTGAAGTTATTTGGCCAAATGCCCAAATGCGCTGAATTTTCTAAAAGTAAAAGCGTTCGATATGGACATATGGTTCATTTAGTCAAATAATTTGCACAATGAGTAAGCTAAATGGAGCCTAAGCGTATAGATGGTGTTTGCGCAAGAAGGATGATTTCACCTATGGATTCTAACGACCAACTTTGAAATACGGAAAGGAAAACAAAATATGATTAGTTTTTTATGGTGTTTCCTATATCAAATTAAATGTGCAGGATTCATAGACAAAAATAGGACTACCATCACTATACAACCGTGATCATTGAACTGTCATCATTTCATCATTTTCATTTACCCCAGAGCCGCAAAGGCTCCCACCTACGGTGGGGTAAGGGGGGATTGGATGTACGCAGTCTTACCCCTGTACTATAGCACAAAGAGATTCCTGGTGATTATTGAACTGTAAAATAAAAAATTGGGGCTGTCACGGTAGTCATTTGTAAAAACAAAAAAGAAAAATAAATCATTGTGATCATTGTGTACTAAAAGTTGTATTTTGTCATTTTTATTTTATTTACTCGTATTTGTAGTATTAGTTTTTTTGTCATTGTTGTTGGATATATTTATATCCTTAATCTTTATATAGTAATTAATATGCATAATTTAAAAAAATTAGTGTAACCAGATATCTAATTTGAGTTTGATTAAACAAATATCTAATTTTCTTAATTGAGTTTTAACACATTGGATATTCCTCCCACGTTTCTTCTCTTTCTTACTAATGTCTCGCTCTCTAGCTTGTTTTGTTCTATGTTTTCATTCCTATTCCGCCTCATATTCAAACTGTCTATATGAGTCACAATGATTTTTTATGTACACATTTTTCATACAATTTAAAATTTGTTTGTTAAGTTGGGAAACAAAAAAATATGTATTTAAAAAAATACAGTTTTACAGAGTATGACCCTATCGAGAAAATGCACCTAATTTCTATGCTCAAATATTAGTTTGACTCTATTTGACTCAATGTATGTAGAAAGTATAAGCCAAAATGTGTACAAATATCATTTTCGTTATGTTTTGTTATGGTCAAATACCCATGTATGCACTAGGCTGTTGTAATTACCTAGTTTTTTTCTCCTGTTTAGGCTGGCATTATTGTGATTAGTCCCGCCTAACCCTAATGAATAATTACTCATTGATTAGGTGCTAGGCTTTTGTCTGCCGCGTAGTATTTTTTGTCTGCTGCCCAGTGTTTTTTTTACAACATTGAGGTCTTTATGTCAAAGTATCATGTAGAACCTTTTCAGTCATTTGCGATTCTTTTCCCTTCTGCTGTTAAATGACATAACATTGAATTCTTGATTTTCAATGACGGTAACAGAAGAATTGCGGATAGCAGAGAAAGAGGAGCTTTTCAAAGACATATACAACTTTGGGAAACTAGTAATGGAGGTCTTAGCCAATGGAAGAGCTAAGAGTGTAGAAGTTGCAGCAAACAGACAAATGAAACCACACGCAGATGGTGCTCTTCTTAGAGAGGTCCTATTCGAGAATGACATCTCGCCTTCTAACCCAATTCAGGTGGAGGAGGTGAAGCGGGTTCTTGAAGTTGGGTTGCTCTGCACAAGAATTAGGGCATCAAACCGGCCATCCATGCAAGAGGCTCTGAAGCTGCTTCAAGGTCAAAAGTGTCAAGAAAGTAACGTTCCAGAAGTGCTATAAAACTGGAAAGAAGATCCTGTATAGTAAAGGCTTTTTATTGTTGTAGTTTATGTTTGTACTTTAGTCAGATCCTTGAGGCTCTTTTTGGATGGGGGGTTGTGGAGAAAAGGATTATGAAGGCTCAGTCTATGACTTGGTAAATAGAATATAAATGAAAATTAAAAAAAAATGTGTTTGAAAAGCCAACTCCCAAACATCTCAAATATCCAGCGTCTAAAACCCAACTCCAAAACTGAGCCTAAAAGATGATGTTAATATAAAGATGAGGAATTTGAAGGTTCTCGTTGTACTTTATTGGGAGAAATATTTTTTAGAGTAAATTATTACAATTATTTTTGTTTCTGTTGTGGTCATTATACAGTGAAAGTTGCAACTGAGATTATAATAATAGTTACTGGTTGGTTTATAAATAAAAGTAAGTAGTGTTTGAGCGAAAAATGCTTTTAAAAGGGTCAAATTTGATAGTGTTTGATAAAAAAAAGTTTTATACGTAGTATGTAATAGAGAAAATGAAAAGCACCTAAGAACACTCATCCATTTGCTTCTAGCTTTTCGGTGTTTAATTTAAGCATATTTAATCATTTAAAAAACACCCAATTCAACTTTGTTAAGTCAAAAGGTAAGAATCATTTTTTTTAAATTTGTATAGGCACTCCCTATATTCATTAAATCAAAGCCAAAAAAACTAAATTTACAATAGCCTGAGCTACAATGAGAAACTTCAAGGAACTCTCCCAAAAAGTGTGGTCCAGAAATTTAATTTTAATGAGTCTTTTTCTTTACAAAAATGACTGGACAAAATTGATTGGACATGGACATCTAAATACCAAGTCTCGAACAACTTATTTGTCAATATGTATATGTGTATAGGAAAAATAGAAAATATACTATCTCTACACTTTTAGAAAACAAAAATATTAGGGGTGGGCAAAAACACCGAACCGGCATGGTACCGAACGGGACCGATAAACGAGGATTGAAAAGGATGTAAAAATTTGTTGTCCCAAACCGGATCGTACCGGTTCCAAACAATGTCATAATGAATTCTCATAAAATGAGAATCGGTACCGTACCGATGTATGATTTAATTATTTAGATTTGTACTACTATCATGAATATGTAATTTATAAATTACTCCATCCGTTCCAAATTGATTTGCAAAATCAACATTTTTTGGGCAACTACTGTTAATGTTAAGTACTCCCTATTGATAATTAATACTCCCTCCGGTTTTTAATAAACTTCACACTTTCCTTTTCGGGACGGTCTAAAATAAACTTCACACTTCTTTATTTCCTTTTTTGGCAAAGAAATCTACATCAAAACAGTGCCAAACAGTGTCTCAACAGTGCCAAACAGTGTCTCTACAGTGCCAAACAGTGTCAAACAGTGCCTCAACAGTGTAGTCTACAGTAAAGTCAAATTTCTTTCCTTATTTTGTGTGAAGTCAAACTGTGAAGATTAAAAAAAACCGGAGGTAGTACAATTTTTAAAAATTAAAATTTACATATTTGGAAACCACATTAAAATATCTTTTAAGTTGCAAAAATTCAAATTAGAATATACTTTTTTTTACTGACAAAATTAGAATATAGTTTTTTTCGTCAAAACGGAGGACTTAAATTGATAATACAACATTCAGATACAGGGTAAAACGACAAAAGGGCCACAGACAACTGTCAGCCCTCGAACCAGACTTAAAGTCAATCACCTCCAAAAAAAAGCAATATAACTCGTTGATCCTATAATAGGCATAAATGAGCCAACGGCAGTTAAAGCAGACCCCTCATCACTCAATCCTAATGCAAGAGTCTTACACAAATAAAAGTAACCAACAGAAAAATAAACAGTCTGATCATGAAAAATAAATAGCAAGCAATCAGTAAAATTAAAATATTGCTTTCAAACCCTAAACTCTCCTACATTCCATGGCGGCGGTTCGGAGGGGGACGGTCCAATAGTACTGTAGCTTCTTCCGCTCCTTGCCTCCGGTCCGGATCTGTTCCAGCCCCTAGCCACACGCTTCGTCCATGACCTTCTGATCTCAACCACGAATGACATCCTCGAAACTCTCCACCTGCTGCTAGGGGTACACAACCTTTGGCCGCTATATAGGCGCTGCGGTCTGCCGAAGAAGAGAGTCTCACTAAAGGTGGACAAAAGGCGCACAAGAAAGCAGCACTTCGTCGAAGACGAAAGCGGTGAAAAATAACCCCAAAACCTAGGGGAGACGGCCGCCTAGAGAGAGAAACTCTAAACCCGATCAAGTTGCCTTTTAGTACCAAATTAGAATATAGTTAAAAAAAAGTGATATTCTAATTAAGTAAATAAAAAGAAATTGTTTGACCAACAAAAGGTTGACTTTGCAAATCATTTTGGTACGAAGGTAGTATGGAGTATGTAATATGAAAATTGATAAATTGTGTGCATTTTTGAAGGATGACAAAACTTCAATTTTCCATTAAACAATGGGAAAAAGTGACATTGTTTAATATTGGTATGACATGATATCATCCCGTTTGAAAATATATTTGTACTGAACGGACCATGCCCACCCGGCCACCCCTAAAAAATATGACAAGTTTTCATATTTTTAAAAAGTGTGACTATTCTGTTCCAAAAAAAAGTGCGACTAATCGTTGTTTCATTAATGTTGGAGATATTAGTCTTACCAAGGCCTCCCTTACACTTTATTGGCTTGCACTCTATGTCTACTCCTACTTGCTAGTTGATATACTCCTATTAATTACCTTACCGACTCTTCTTATCTGCTGTCTACTCTTATTGACTTGCGTTATTGGACCTTTGTGTTCTGACTTTTGATGAGTCAGTCTGGAGCTCCTTGTTTGACAATAATACCCATGAACAATAATAGGCAGTTTGCCTATTATATTATTGCACTCCTCCTTTGTGAAACCGCAGCCTGCGTAAACCTTGAGCAGTGTGTCTCCTCCTTTTCCTTAGTGTGAGAGGTCCTTTGTGGAGTGAGAGTGATAGGGTAAACATGGTGAGATGGAGTGGCCTATCCTTGTGGTGGTGTGTGAGTCTAGCTAGATAGAGGTTGGAGATATGAGCCGAAGACGAATCGATCCTCAACAATTAGTATATTTTTTATTTAATTCTAATTCGAATCGATTGCCGCCGAACCACTGTGCTAGTTGAAGGAAATTTTCCTGAGGATATTTTTCAGATTTTTTAAATTTTCATTAGAAAAAGTTAACAGAATTCTTTTCCAACCATCACAATGTCATATTTCACGGAAACTGTGAAACTAAAATTAGAGTGGTTAGTCTTCAAATGTTTCCTTTAAAAAAAATTCCTCTCAAATAGGAGGCGGAGGCGCGGAGCTTAAATTTTTTACACTATAGGAGTTGAAGCTTCATATTTAAACATTTTTTATCCATACATTATGCATTTCTTAGGTCCTCTCTGACCTTTCCTTGTCTCTATCGTTGATTGCTGCCACCTATGATCTATGTGCCTACCCTTTAATTGTGTAAAATTACAATGAAACAATTTCATCTCTTTGAATGGGGAGCTCACTTAGTTCCAAGGTAAAGCATGATAGCATGTAGCTGATATAATGATTCATTGCATGTTTCCAAATTATCGCATGCTAGCTATCCAAAGCTTCCACATATTATTGAGGTTCACCAAAATCAATCAATAAAAGATACGGATAATTCAAAGAGGGGAAATGCAACTATAGTGCACTCAGCTCTCTATTATATACTGCCTACTTCGTATATCTCAGTGACAAAGCTATTGGTGTATGCTTGACAGCTTGACCAAACACCTTGTCAATCTGAACATTGTTGTACAATGTTACTCCAATCCTAAAATTACAAGAACCATGCTAAGGGTATACAAGTTGTACACAACTTGTACACAAAATATCGGTCACAGACAATTGGTACGGAATTGTCTGTGGTCACAGACAAGAGTTGTCTGTGTACACAAACAACTTTTGTCTGTGTCCAAAGACATTTATTTTTTTTGTAAAAAGTACGCTGACAGCCGCCTGACACTGACATCAGCTTGCAAATCAATCAATATATGTGCAGTGCCTGTGTGCACAGACAATATTCTCATGTTGCACAAACAATTATTTGTCTGCGTGCACAGACAACTTTTACCACACAGACAATAGTTGTGCATTCCAGTGACAATAGTTGTCTGTGTGATCAACTTTAGTTGTCTGTGTGATCAATTTTAATTGTCTGAGTGAACAAAAAACTCAATTTTCTATATACATCCAAATGAAGGATGTAGTTGTATGTGTAATCAATTTACATTAATTTGAATAAAATTAGAAACATAATAAAAATATATGAAATAAGATGAATAAGTTGATTTTGTGCAAATAATGAAAAAAACATATATTGATAAATAAAGGTAGAGAAAAAGAGGATGAAGAAGGGAAGAGGAGGATGAAGAAGATAATATAATTTTATTGTTGTTGAGAAGTTTAGAAGAGATTGGGTAAAGAGGAAAGAGAGAAGGGGGAGAAGAAGAAGAGAGAAGGAAGAGAGAACCGAGAGAGGGGGAAGAGGGAGGAGGAAATGAGATTTTTTTGCTTTTATACCATGTACAACTTGTGTACATGGTGTGCATACTTAGCATTTTCCAAATTACAATCACACAATTACAACTTGGATCATTCTTGGTGTACACAAGTTGTACACAAAATGTGTATATTGCGTGTGTACACAGACAATTTGACATCAAGTGCTGCCTCTTTTTAAACGAATTGTATGTATACACAGACAACTAGGGGGTTTTGTATACAATTTGTGTACAACACATGTACATTAAGCATTTCCCTTACAACTTTAGTTCTTTCCTTGTAGTACACGGGTCATCATAATCATTGCTATCACAACAATGTTACAATTTTACAATTGCACTCAACAATCTATAATTCCCCTTTCTTACTCTTAGCTTGAATTTTAGACTCCACTGCAACAAGTTCATCTCTTAATTTTACTCCCAAGTCCCAACAAACCTCTGAAGTTTTTCCAAGAAAAGAATATGCATCCTCCTTCCTGGATTAATGTGTAGAATCAATAAATCAAAACATATCCTCCGTAGTACGTTTATCTCCCAAAATTGAATATTTTCAGAAAAAACCATTTGTCAAAAAAATATTGTAGGTTTATAATCACTTACTTTTCATCGTTGACACCGACCGAACTCAGAGGCGGCTATAGGGCCATTTTGCCTAGGCAAATGCCTTGGGCCTCTCATTTTGGTGGGACCTCGTATTCTTGAAGTCCTATTAATACTACTCGGTTATATTTTTAATTCACTTGTATTAGTATAGGCATTTTTCCAGTGTATTAGTGGACATGATACGGCACTTGTTTTTATTCGACCGATGAGCAAATGTGTTATGTGGCCTCTTGGAGTGCATCTTTTAAGTAATTTCTCATTTGTCTCCTAGTAATTTCTCATTTTGTGATGTTTTAGGAAACGTTTACATTTAGTTCTACATTTGAGAAGCTGTTTATTTTAGAGACTAGAGTCCGTTTGGTGACCCGTTTTTCAACTTATCAGGCTTATCAGCTATCTTTTTAACCAAACACATTATATTTGATTTCGCGCTCTTAATTGTATGACAATAAGGAAAGGTGTGGTTGAAGTTACTTTTCCAATTGTATTGGCTGAAGTTACTGTAGATGCCCATTTTAGCTATTTTTATATAATTCTCTTTATTTTATTAATAAAACAAATTTTGATTTTTTTACTTCAAAAATCAGCAGAATCAACCAATACATCCACTTCAGTCAAAACTTCATAAATTTCAGAAGAATCAACCAATTCAACCGATTTCAGTGTTAGCAAACGTGCTCTATATATATGAAATATTGTAAATAGTAAAAAGTGATTTCATTTGAAAAATTAAATGATTTTGAGTAAGTAAAAATCAGATTTTTTTATTAAAAATAAGTGTAATGGAAAAACACCTTTTCCCTTAACTTTAACAATGGCTTTAAAATGTTCGATTTAAGCAAAATAACCTACTTGAAAATGTGTAACTTTGTTGGAACAAATTTTTTATGAAAATTTATCATAGGTATTCTTTTGGGGAAGAAAAATTCATAATTTCATACTAGTACTCCGTAATATATGTATGAAAACTGATATAAGTGCTTAATTTAGATAGATTCTTTCCCGGTTTAAAAAAAAGATCGATTTTTTCCGTCAAAACAATCATGTGTGCCGCCTTGGGCCTCCAAATCTCTATAGACACCCCTGACCGAACTTCCGACCATTCCCTTCCCATACACAAAGGAGATTTTAATTAACCTTTACAAAGGAGTATTAGGAACCATCTTTGAATTTGTGGTGAACGATGTTGAAGAAATGATGAGCCTGGCCTGGAGGATTTGCGCTGAATGAGACTACGAATGAACCCAAGATTCTTCTGAGGTGAACGACATATCTTGAGAAGAAATTTTGTACAAATTAATGGTTCTATGTCCTTTTAAAATTGATGATGAGTGGCTGACGTGATTAAAAGCTAAGATTTGCTAAAATGGGGGTTAAATAACTGATAATCGAGTTTAGGGGGTTCTTAGTTGGTCATAGACCTCATCTGCTTGGTTTTTAAAAGTGAACCTATGTTGGTGACACTTTTATAAGTAGTTGATCTTATGTGATGATTTGAGAATAATAAAAGGTCATATTTTACTCATTTCTCAAGTATCTATGTCCTAATGAGTGAATATTCCCACGCATTTGTGCTCACCAACACAATCATAATCACAAGACTATATAACGGCGGTCGAGTTACATATCTTTTATGGTCACCACAATCCATTAACGTGAAATCGTCCACCTCAGGCGCCCTCACACCCTGACTCGACAGAATGAAGGAGAAATAATTCATTGTATGATCTAAATTGTTTCTGAGTAATTGATTCGGAGTCAAATACACATAAGGAGCCATCATATTGCTCAAAAATTCTACAGTCATTGTCAAAAGTTAAACGTGAGACCTCAACTCAACTGTTTCACCTAGCCACCATTTAATATTCACAACTATATTAGAGATGAAGTTCCTCCTCAAATTTATACTACCTCCGCCCCATTTTATGTGTCTTAGTTTGACTCGGCACGGTTATTAATGAAGTGGTTGAAAAAGTAAAAGTTGTGGTTGAGATTTGAGTATAATAAAGTGAAATAGTGTAGACCACATATTTCTTTCCAAAAAAGGAAAGGAGACACTTATTTTGGGACAACTCAAAAAGAAAAGTAGAACAGGTAAAATGGGACGGAAGGAGTAATATGTCTGTCACGTCACCACACCACACCACACCATTCGGTATTTTGATTCCCACAATTTTCAACGGCTCATCATCAAAGATAATTAACCACAACTGTAAATTTGTAATACTCCGTAACGTCATATTAAAACGTTTCAAATGAAGTGCTCATGCTCAACATCAAAACAATTCTTGTATCATCTGTCCCCACATTTTGCTTCATTTTCACTCTTCGTCTTCTTCCCCCTTTTGGGTGCCTTCACTTTAATCTAATAAAGCCATGGATTACAATTCCAAATCCAACAATCAACTTTACTGAAGTCTTTCTTTGACTTGGTTTTGTATCTCCAATCTGCCTCTATTTCCTGCAAATTTCATCAGTCAAAATCAGATCACAAACTTCATGTTAACTTTGGCTGCCTGATCTGGAAGAGGAATAATTCAATTATTTTGATTCTAACTTCATCCTTGAACTCAATCACATCAGGATTTTGTTCGCTACTCCTACGATCTATCCTACTAAAGGATTTCTTTTCTAGCTTTTGCTTTCCCTGTGTGAAACCCCACATATCGTGAAAGGTAGCCATTAAAGTAAGCTACAACTTGCCTACATGGCTACGTTGTTGTTTAATCGGGCCGCCAGGGAACCCGAAGAATTTTGAATATTTTTGCAGTATTTATTCTCCGTATGACCGTAACTTTTCAACAATCTTAAATATGCATTCACATTGAGATCCCTCTCTGCTTTCTCTCTGTGTTTTTGTCAATCTCCCCCGCCCCGTAATTTGGAATCATTTGCGCAGTTAGACTTAGTTCTCTGTTCATGATTCGGGCTCTGTTGATCGAGTATAGAGTTCAATTCTAAACAAATCTTATTTGGCGATTTACACCGGCAGTAGTAGGAACTGTAGAAGAGTAGAAGCAATTGATAGAGCTGTGGATTGGGGATAATATTCCAGTCTAAAACCTTTCCGCTTAGTTTGAAGATTTACTGAGATAATCGGTATAGGGAGATAGAAAGAGGATGTGGTGCACAACGATTGTACTCCGGCGGAAGAAGAAGACGGGGGTTGTGCCGGTGTACCTCAATGTATATGATCTCACTCCGATCAATGGTTACGCTTACTGGTTTGGTCTCGGCGTCTATCACTCCGGCGTCCAAGGTTAGTTTCTTTCATTTAGAATTTTCGTTCGGAATCAACAGTTTTACACTGCTGCGTTTCCATCTGAATGATCAGACTATCCCCTAATCCTTGTATGGCCGTATAGGAATTAGGAACATGGAATGTTTAGAAAGCTACAAACTCTGGAAAGTACTGTTTTCAGTAATGGTAAATTAGTTGCAGGATGCAAGAGTTCTAAATATTGATTTATTCGCATGCTAACTGCAGTAGTATTAGTGCATAATTACATATCAAATGGAGATTTGTTTGACCAATATTTACAATCTTTTCTTTTCTATATTTTTGAATGAGAAATTATTCTTCAGTTTTAAAATTATTCTTTTGGTTTTCTAGTTATTCAAATTTCACATTGAAAAGCATTGCTAGCCTACCTGGGGCTGTTTTAGAAGTGCAGTCATGTTTCCTATGTGAAATCCAACTCATGGAAATTTTAGTTAATTGATGAATGATGATGGTGATGTAATGGGGTTCGCTCTTTGATTTGATCTGGTAATATATCATGCTTATTCTATTGATGATGGGTTCTTTTTTATAACGATATCATAAGAATAGAAGAGTTCTAGCTCGCAATTTTGTGATAATGATCTTTATCATCTCTAATAGTTCATGGGATTGAATATGGATTTGGTGCACATGAGCATTCTACCAGTGGTATATTTGAAGTAGAACCAAAGAAGTGCCCAGGATTCACATTCAGAAAATCAATACTTATTGGGAGAACTGACTTGGGACCGAAAGAAGTCCGGACATTCATGGAGAAACTTTCCCAGGAGTATGGTGGTAGCTCGTACAATCTGATCACTAAGAACTGCAACCATTTCTGCAATGATGTGTGTACCAAATTGACCGATAAATCGATACCTAGATGGGTTAATCGACTTGCTCGTCTTGGTAAGTAAACTCTTGCTTCTTTTTCCCAAATATCTATCCTACCCCTCTCCTTTTTAAAAGGCAAAATTAGACCCTAACTCCATGTTTGATTCAAAGGTTACAGAATGGAGGGAAGTGAGAAGTGACATTTAATTTAATTAAGTAACTCTTGCATAAAATTATTTCAAGAAATGATTTTTGCATTAAAATGTTAGGAAAAAGGTGAATATGAAAAGGTCTAAAGAGAAAGAGAAATTCATAATTGAACTAATATATATGACACATATTAGTAAAACAGTTTGGATGGAGGGGTCCAGAGGGGTTTGAAGAATGTTTATATAAACGAATAAATGTTGATCGAAATATTGTACTCCGTATTATCAAATACTAGTACTTAGTATTAGGGAAAGTTCCCGAAATAGGACTAAAACAGTTTGAAAATTCCAAAATAGGACTGACATGTTTTTTATTCCCAAAATAGGAGTAATTACTGCCAAGTTTGGAAAATACTGTCAAGTTTGAAGTATGCTACGGCCAAAACATGGTAGTAATTAGTCTTATTTTGGAAATAAAAGCATGTCAGTCCTATTTTGGAATTTTCAAACCTTTTTAGTCCTATTATGTTATTCGTTGTGTAAAATTTTAAAATGGGGCTCGAAATGACATGTTTGGATGGATAGCTATGTGATTTTTTTTCCCATGGAAAGGCTTTGTAAGGCTAGTCTAGATGGGAAGTAGGGTGAGAAATAGGTGCATTTTAATTTGGGTTTGTGGGGGGTAAGGTTTTCTTCATTGGGCACATGTTGCTGAAAAGGAACTTCATTTTACTATGCACACCAAAGGCCGCAGGGATTGACCTGGTAGGGAAAACTGCTTCAAAATTAATACACTCATTTTAGGTAATAATGTACTCGGTAATATATTGGTATTTACATTTTTATTTTAGTTTTAGAACAGACCAAAAGTTTTATTGCCCCACAGGATTGTATTTTTCCATTACTTGCATGTTTTCATTAGATAGTACTAGTATGAAGTTGTAGATGGGAAATGGGCTAGCACAGCCGGTTCCCCCCACCCCCCTCCAGTGGTTGAAAATCCGTCCAGCTAATTACTAGCTCCCCTACCAAAAACCAACAACTTTGTGGAAAAATGGGCCTCCTAATAAATACTTTGGGTACATTGTAAGAGGTGATCCCTCTGTTCTCAATAACAACTATTTTAGCTCTTTAGAGTCTTTACATACTATGTATATTCTAGGAAAAATATAGTCCTTACATTTCTAAACTTCAAGACCAAAATAGAATTTGAAGTGACACTGTGAGTCTGTGACAACGATTTGAGAACAATCCCCCCTCCCCTCTAGCTAAATGGAAAATTATTTGAGCAGTAATGGATATCATAAAAATGGTCGAGAATAGATATCAATAATGATGGAAGAATCTACATCGAAATATGGGAAATGGGTGAGGAACAACGGGCTTTTGCTTTTAAGTTCATCTTCCATTGCTGGCCTTTGCATTTTATCAGCTACCTTTTTGACCAATTCCTTTGCTTTCGTGCAATATTTTTTTCTTCTTTTCCTTTGGCTGTTTGGGAATAAGGAATATAATGGGTTATTAAGTTCAGGCCTTCTCTTTTCCTTTTGTTTAAACATTGCTTTGGATGCTTTCTACTTTCTACATGACATTATATCCCGTGCTGTCCTATTTAATAGCCTAATAGGACCCACTTGACCATGCTCCTTACTCCCTCCGTATCTTATATATCTTCCCACTTCTAAAGTGGGTGAGATTAAGAATAGTGAAAGGAGATATAAATTATTGAGGGTATGATGGGAAGATGGTGAAATAATGTGATGGAATGAAGGATAAATCCAAAAAAAGTAGGTGTAATAGTGTATTATTTTTTAAATTATTGAGGGTATTTCGGGAAGATTTAGAAATGGGAAGATATAAATGTTACGTCCAAAAAAGAAAAGTGAGAAGATATAAATGTTACGGAGGGAGTATAAAATTAATTCATTTTGAAATTAGGGAAATGCTATCTGAAATCACGGATCTTGTTGGGAAGAAAAGTAGTACGTAGGCTTTGTTTGCAAGTGCTTGTGCTTAAATAAAAACACTTTTTGGAAAAAAGTGATTAGTAGTAAAAGTTGGCAATGTTTGGTAAAATAAGTGCTTTTTGTGTAATAGAAAAAGTAAAAAGTAGATTCTACTCGAAAACCGAGAAAGTAAAAGTTGGTAGTGTTTGGTAAAATAAGTGCTTTTTTCCAAGGTTGTTAAAATCTCGATTTAAATCGTAAAATCGTACGATTTTACGATTCTACAATAATAAATCGATTCAAATCGCAGGTAAAATCGTAAAATCCTAAAATCGTACAAAATCGTAACAAAATCGTACAAAAATCGTGTAGAATCGTATAAAATCGTATCAAAATCGTAGCAAAATCAGAATAAGTTTTTTTTAGTGAAAATGGTTCAAATTTATTAAAATTAACTACTACAAATTGATACAAAATTTCAATAATAATAACATCAATAATATATCTAAAAAAGTAATGGATTCTTGTGTTATTTAATTATTTTTATGTTTTACATATGTTTAATGTTATTATTCACTCTATTTACAATATAAAAATAGTTTATAAATCTTGTTTTTGACCTTGTAGGTATAGTGGTATGTAATAAAATGACATAATACCATTAACTTGCAACTTAATTTTAATATTTATTTATTTTATAATTATTAAAATATGTTTGATAAAATCTTACGATTTGCGATTCGATTTTACGATTCGATTTTCAAAAACATCTACCGATTCGATTCAAAAATACGATTTTAACAACCTTGCTTTTTTCTTAGAAAAAAGCCACAATCACTTAAATTAAGGGGTTTCAAACAGAGCCGTAGTATCATTTGTTCTAACCCTACCTTACTTTAATAGCAAAATGCATTACTAATGCAGGAATTAGTACTTTTTGTCCTAATCCTAGATTAAGTTACTATTTTGAGTTTGAACTGCAGTGTGGAACTATTAGCACTTCATTATAGGTTATTTTTAAATCACTGGCTCCTATTTGAATATTTTTTTCATAACAAAAATACTTGAGATAGTACTCCGTAATACTTTAGCAAAACTTCAGCAACACTCATAAGACATGTTAAATTGATACGTTGAATAGTCTCTCTTTCTCATGAAGTCCTGTGTCTATTTCTTTAACAGTATATTTTTGTTTTACTAAATTTATCATAATGAATTTGTGTCAATTTTTTTTTTTTTTTTTTTTTGGGGGGGGGGGGGGGTTACTAGACTCATTACATTTACAGATTCGTTCTTAGAGAGCCCACCAAATGAATTTTGTCCTTCACAAAAACCCTAGAGATTTAAACTTGTCAAATCCTTGGGAGTTACGGTCAAGCTTTCTAATTAGGTGTGTGCTATGGTACCCATCTTAAATGGGAGTATCATGCATTTGATTGGTTCAACTCATTATTTCATTAATAATTTATACTTAAATCATTCAACTGCAATATTCTAATTGGTCTACTTGGAAAAAGGAGGATACCTTGAGGATACAATCATACAATAGAATTTACCTTTGAATTATGTGATATATCATTATTAGTGAAGTTAAACATGATATTTAAACTACAGATGAGTCTTGGTGTGTAACTAGAATAGATATGTAAACAATCCTAACCTATCATAACATTGCTAATAAAGGTATAACTAGAATAAAACTTTGATACCAGTGGAAAATTCTAAGAAACTAATAGTCTAATACTAATTCTAAAATGCTCCTTGTAATCTTAGGCTCGTATAAAAATCATTTTTTTTTCTTGAAAAAGGATCCATTCCATTGCTTAGGATTGCGACATTTCACTCATAAATCTGAGCTCATCATCTTTTGTCTAATTTTGTTGTATATTGTTTTGAAGGTTTTCTTTGCAATTGCGTCCTCCCGGCTGGTTTTAATGAGACTAAAGTTCGACATATTAAGGCTGAAGGCAAAGTTAGTGACAAGACAAAGTTAAGAACTAATTCAACTAGATTTTTAAGTACTTCTCCTGCCAATACAAGCACCATTGCACCTCGTCCTACAACATCAAGTACAAGTAGTGAAAGAAAGGGAACCCGTAAGTCTCCGTCCATCTCGGTGACTCGCTCTGCTTCTACTTCTACTTCTCCTTCTGTACAATGAGGCTTTAGTGACACTTTAGCTCTTCATACTTAATGGGGTTGTACACTGGACATATCACATATGTAGTAGTAAAAGAAAAGATTGGGATGTTCGTATATCTTTAAGGTCTTCCCGCTTCCTTGTTAGCTTGAGTTATTTTTTTCTCTTCTCAAATTGAAACAGAAAAGGCTGCTTGAAAAACATTGCAGCAATTCTCTTTCTGTAAATTAGGTTGCTATTTTTTAATTATTATTTTTATCTTTCTATTGTGAGAAGTTCTAAGTTACTGAACTATTGTGGATTGCCTTGAATTGGCTACTAAAACCTCAAGGAGTGTGACAGGAATGACAGACAATGATTAGAGGTTAGTTGTGAAGCTTAGAGTCCATTTGGTAACAATAAATCAGTTGAACCTATTTAAAATTTTGAAATTTCGGATAAAATTTTGAAATTTTAATATATACTCCATATTAGGTATTTTTTAATAATATAAAGAAAAAATTATTTGACAAACAAGTCCAACTAGTTTTGTTCAACTAGTTCATCCAAATTAGAAACGTAATTTGAGTACAGAGTATTGTTTACTTTTATTATTACGCAACTCAAGGTGCAAAAATGAAAGTTTAACCCTTGATAAAAACATCGACTCATAAAGTTCCTAAGTTATAATAAAAGATTTTCATAAAATTGGAATCAACCGAATCTGCTGGAATTGATGAAGTTCTGACTGAAACGGTTGAATCTACTGAATCATAGGGAAATTATATCTTAAATATATTTTGTTAAAGAAATAGTTATATGAAAAGTAGTTAAAGTTGTTCTCTCCAATAAGTTCTGCCAATTCCAGCCAGTTGTGAGGTTGTCGTGCCTAACGAGAGGTCTCGAGTTCGAAACCCGTTAGGCACATAAGGGTTTGAAACTCAATGGAATGAGTTTCGGTCCTGATTACTCTAGGCTTCCCCCAGCCCCCCTCCCCCAGACCCCCTAGAGAGAGAGAAAAATTAATAATAATAATAATAATAATAATAATAATAATAATAATAATAATAATAATAATAATAATAATAATAATAATAATAATAATAATAATAATAATAATAATAATAATAATAATAATAATAATAATAATAATAATAATAATAATAATAATAATAATAATAATAATAATAATAATAATAATAATAATAATAATAATAATAATAATAATAATAATAATAATAATAATAATAATAATAATAATAATAATAATAATAATAATAATAATAATAATAATAATAATAATAATAATAATAATAATAATAATAATAATAATAATCATGATGACGACGACGACGGCGGCGGCGGCGGCGGCGGCGACGACGACGACGACGACGACGATGACGATGACGATGATGATAATAGTGGTAATAATAGTAATAATAGTGATAATAGTGATAATAATGGTAATAATAGTAATAGTAATAGTAATAGTAATAGTAATAGTAATAGTAATAGTAATAGTAATAGTAATAGTAATAGTAATAGTAATAGTAATAGTAATAGTAATAGTAATAGTAATAGTAATAGTAATAGTAATAGTAATAGTAATAGTAATAGTAATAGTAATAGTAATAGTAATAGTAATAGTAATATAATAGTAATAGTAATAGTAATATAATAGTCATAGTCATAGTAATAGTAATAGTAATAGTAATAGTAATAGTAATAGTAATAGTAATAGTAATAGTAATAGTAATAGTAATAGTAATAGTAATAGTAATAGTAATAGTAATAGTAATAGTAATAGTAATAGTAATAGTAATAGTAATAGTAATAGTAATAGTAATAGTAATAGTAATAGTAATAGTAATATAATAGTAATAGTAATAGTAATATAATAGTCATAGTCATAGTAATAGTCATAGTCATAGTCATAGTCATAGTAATAGTAATAGTAATAGTAATAGTAATAGTAATAGTAATAGTAATAGTAATAGTAATAGTAATAGTAATAGTAATAGTAATAGTAATAGTAATAGTAATAGTAATAGTAATAGTAATAGTAATAGTAATAGTAATAGTAATAGTAATAGTAATAGTAATAGTAATAGTAATAGTAATAGTAATAGTAATAGTAATAGTAATAGTAATAGTAATAGTAATAGTAATAGTAATAGTAATAGTAATAGTAATAGTAATAGTAAGTTCTGCCAATTCAATCAAAAATATAACTCAAGACTTATTTATTTTGATTTTTACACAATTCAGCACCTCAAACCATGACTTATGCGTTTGGTAAAAATATTGATTGATTAGAGTGATAAGCACAAAATAGGAGCTACCAAAGTATAAATTTGTATAGGATTTTGTCTATTATTGCTTTACGGAAGGTTGTAGACTTTTTTTTAATGAACAACCGTTTATATTAATATCATTAGGATTCACATCGTTACATCAAACTCAAAGAGACCAACATTCACAACAATTATATGTAAACAATTTTCACTATCACCCCTGAAAGAAGAATGCAAGTTGTTATCAAACGTGTGTGACATATCAATCAGTGGTCATATAGATCCTTATAACAACATGATAGTTAGTAGAATTGTCAATCGTTATTATAGACCTAAAGTTAAACACATCAACAAAAAGCAGAGCAATGCAAAGAAACATAACGCAAAATTAAAATTATAAGAAATAAAATAACTGATTAAAGCTCCAACCGAGAGTAGTAAACTCACAAAAATATGGAGCAACCATAAGGAAATTGAGAATGTTTTAACACTTTTTCTTCCCGTGTTACAATTCGTAGAAACTTTTTCCTCGTTATATTGCCATCATTTTTTGCATTTCTTTTTTGTTATTAGTTGATTCTCACAATCTTAATCTCTTATAAGTCTTATTTAATAAAGCAGTTTATTTCTTTTTATTACTGTTGATATGTTTTTTCGGTTGAGTTTCATGGCTCCTCAATATTCTCTTTGTTATTTTTATTCTTTACGGACTATCTTTACAAAAAGTCTTGGATAGCTTAGATTCTTCAAAGAGTCTTGGATAGCTTATTTTCATCTTGTACCCCTTGCCGGGATGTTCAGAAATCAGAAGTCAGAACTCCTTATATTTCAACTTATTTTCTATGCTTGTTATTGCTCATTTGCTTGGTAGGTCTGAGACAGGTTCGATTCTCAGGAAAACTATGTGGAATCATTTAAAAAAATCTCAATGTTTTATAATTAAAACTAATATGAAACCGCACCAAACTTTAATGGTTCGATTCTACTCATTTTTAGGTTCAATTTTTTAAAAAAACTTCTACAAATCACCGATAAATTTGTGTCATGTAAAGACATCCAACTTATAAGACATACAAATAATTCAAGGTCACCATCATTTCAAACTTCAAAAGTTAAGTTTTAAACATAAGTACATAACAAATTATAAATTTTAGTAAATATAAAATAAAAAATTCATTCACTACGAGAGGAATCAGTTGAATATTTATCAAATTTATGAACTCTATTAACTAAAGTAAATTAATGAAATTTAATATATAAATAATATTAGAATATTCAACTAATAGATAAAAACTTAACTATTATATAACGGTTCCTTAACATATTGATGGAGTATATAGTGTGGGGGGCCCCGGCCCACATACTCCTGCTACAACGAATGGTCCCAAAGGCACAAGCGGCCCAGATACAACATCCCAAGTATGAGTAGCCCATTCCCCCACAAGGAACACCTTTTCGGCCCCAAGGCCGAGGGGCGAGGGTACCAAACTTAGGGAATCACTCTGATTCGACCCAACGGTAAGTCTGGGAAATTCGCCTCCTCACATTTCGAGGGGCTCCATGTTGATGATGGCTTGTATCTTTTCAGGGTTGGCTTCAATCCCCTTTCGGCTGAACCCCAATAATTTGTCCCTTGCACGTCGTAGATGCACTTCTTCGGGTTCAGCCGAAGGTTGAACTTCTATACTTTGATGAATATTTCCTTGAGGTCCTCAGCGTGACTGGTTGCCTTCTTGCTTTTGACGATCACATATTTTTATAGAGAAACGACCCTTTAATAATAAGTAAGAACAGAATCATTATTAAATAACTAATTAATGTTGAAACTTAACTCAATCAGGTCATAACAGTTGGATCAGTTCTTGATTCAAAGTCCCACCCTGGGATTTTTTGAGCCCACGATTGTGACTATGCCAATTGTATTATTAACAAGTTGGAACTTGGAAATGCTTGGAAACTTGGCCACGTAAGACAATAACATAAAACTAAGGATAAGGACAAGCAATGGTTGAGAAAAGCTAAAATAATATTAGCCCTTAGATTGATTAACGTACCTTTGACCTTATCTTATACTATTACAAATTCTGTGTCCCCAGCCCATATGCTATCTAAAAAACACAGTTATCAGTCTTAATCAGACAACTCATGCAGTCCAGGAAGGGAAATACTTACATATGACAGAACACAAAAGTAGCACTTTAATTTGGACAGCTCTGGCTCTGTGTCTTTATTACATATTTTACCCCAATCTCATGAGACTGCATATGCATGATACAATGTTGGAACTTCCACCATCTAAGGGGTACTCCTTCACCCTATTCAATTGTGATTAATGCTTTCCTCGACTCTAAAAGGTGTGATCACCTCCGGGCGCCCCACACTTGGAAAGGTATGGAGGAGTAAATTAGGGTATGACCCAAACACTTTATCAATCGTAGTGAATCTGAACCTCAATCCATATTTAAGAAGTTCTTATTACTTGAATTTATTTCAAATCTCAAACCGGACTAGAACAAAATTAAACAGACCAGATCAGACATTAACAAAATATACACAACACCAAGCATTTATTAGACCAAACTAGACTTAAACAAATCAAATACAAAACATCACTAGTATAGGCTATATGCATCATTTGGGTTATAAAAAATGTACTTAACACTTCAACATATTTGAGAGCATTCAACCATTCATATTCACTGAATCATATAAATACAGTCTTCTCTTTATTAAATAAAAAGAAGGTTTAGCGTGTGAAATCCTTCGCACCAATTTTTACCTATATTTGTTGCACCGCATTTTTGTAAATAAGTGATTTTTTTATCTCATCATATATTTACTATCCTCTTGCAATTATATAGTTGTCAACTTGTCACAAGTCATTTGCTAGATTTTTTCAAGTAATTTTTAGATATGTACATATTATTCATTTAGAATTTCTATTTTATTCATTAAAACATAATCCATTCTTTTTTAATTGCAAGAATTTTACTTATGGGCAATAAGTAAAATTCTAATCAAATTTTAGAAAATTTTAGAGACATTCGACATTTTTTACATAATATAACATTGTT